CCGCCACTCCCGCGGGCCGGCCAACCCTTTCCTTCGCGTACGCGCTCGCTGCGACCGAGACTTTTATCAGGTCAGCGCCGAAGTTCCGCCGCGGCGGTCTCGCGGTTACGAAATTATGCAAAGGATCTGTCAGAAGGTGTCACCGGCGGTCTCCCGAGACTACACGTATCGCAGCTTCCTCCGGCTTCTCGATAATAAAATTGTGCATAATTAAAGTGACGGGAATAATTGGCGATGCCGCACGCCCCGTAGCGGTGTGTGATGTAGTCTGTGGTCTCCCCTTCGCGACAACTTGATCACTCTGTCGCTGAAGCGAGTGCGGAATGCACGGGACGTGTTTTATACGCGGTTCCCCTTAACTTAGTGACGTTAATTTAAGGATCTTTTAGCGCGTTGTCCTGCGCAAAGGGGATGTCGTCCTCTCTTTCGATATTGTCGTATGTTCTCTGGATCGGCGCGTCGCCACAGCGATCTTAATCTCACGCAGGAAACTTGCCTGGTTTGCACGTCGAACGCGTGAAAAAATCCGACGAGAAACACGTAACTCGCGGCAACTCGGATCAGCGCCATTTTATCTCCGCGTTCTAATGAGGGGCCGGGGAAATTTCCGCGGGGAGGAAAAGACGCGCTATATTTTTAGATTGCGTCCAACTGCCCCGGCTAATCTTGCTTCGCGCGCGCAACAATTCTCCCGTGCTTCGAGCTTCAGTCGCTCGACAGAAGATTACCATGCCGATACGACGGACTGAGCACCGGCAGCAAGTCGCAATACGGGGAGGAACGGGGGATGAGGGGCACCGGGGTAACCGGTCGTCTTCCGCGGTTGTTTGACGAAGATCCCCAAGTCGTAACGAGATTAATCGCATATCTCCGTCGATGGAGATGCCGATAACCGGCGGCGGACTTGGAGCGCGGCCTTAATGCGCCGGAATTCGATCGAGTGCACCTGATTGCGCGCGACGGCCTCCGATCTAAAACAATCTGCGCGGATATTACTTCCGGACTTGTAATCAGGGCGCGCGATTGTACTTACGGTACATGCACGGCGCACAGTCATTAAGATCGCCAATGAGCAGCGGGCGTTAACGTCGCAATGGCCGGATATTGCGCGGATCGTTGCGCGCGAATTAACGCCGAACACTCGCGACCGCCGTAAATACGTCACTTTATTCGCAGCCGGCTCCGTTAATGCGCGAGATTCTTGACCATGTCTCTTTCCCTTTCTCTCCTTCTCTCCCCTTTCTCTCTCTCTCTCTCTCTTTGTCGGAGAGAGACCAGGAAACTGGAAATCGCGGTCTGGGCGTAGCCGCACGATCGGCGTCGCGCGAGACACGATTGAAATTGAATTACGCTCGGGTGGGGATCAAGGAGAGTCCCGAGTGTGCCGTAAAGATTATTATTACATTATAACCGGTTACAACGGCTAATAATACTTAATTAAACGCGGATGGCGAATTAATTGCGGGGAACGTCAGTCGAGATGAATTCGCAAGCGTTTCGTTGCAATCACGACGGCAAATCGGCGATTTGCGATTTGATCGTTCGCCAAGGGAGCAGTTTTCATCGACATCTCGCACGATCTGATCGACCGAACCACGCGAAGTGGATATAACATGAAATTTGAGGACGATGGTGAAAAATGTGCGACGCTATTTTTGCCGTGAGGAAGAGAGAAAAATGATCTAACTAAAATTAAAGTTTTTTAGCCCTAATGATATTTCTTAATTGTTATTAACATGAAAATAATGGTAACATGCACATATGATTATTGTCGCTGATATTTTAATAGAATTTAATAGAATTGAAAAAAAAGTACTTTTTCTTACCATAATTTATAGTGATTATTTCTCTATGTGAATATAATTTAGCAAATATCAAACATTTTCTTGTCAGTACGAACACTAATAACACTGGCATCTAATTCTGGATTCTTATTGCTTTGATTTTTACGTACGAATTTTCAAACTTTTAACGTAAAATATATTCGTACGCATATATTCACAATATTGAACATTTTAATATTCGTATTTAAAGATCAAAACAATAAGAATGTCCAGAGTTGAGTGCCAGTGTCATTGGTGTCCAGGCATTGGCATTTTCGCCTTGCATGACTTATCAAGACTCAGTAACATCTGACCAATCTCATTAGGGACCAATTTCAATAGAACTATGGAATAAATTTCAGGGTACGTCGTGGCTGCGAGAGTTTCGCGAATTTGTTCATTTTTATTTTTTTCGTGTCCATTACACCGGCGACCGGAGATTTCAAACGCGACGTATAACGGATTCGAATTCAATGATTTAATTCGCATTCGTTACATTTTGTCTGGCCGAGCTGCCGACATTTCCGCGTCTCTCTCTTCTCTTTTTTATTAGCCGGAATAAAACACGCCCCTTTGTACATTCTCGCGATGCGACGATAAAAGAATAATCGAGCGCTTTCTTTTAAGCTCCACCGGTGCAGAAGGATAAAAGGTAAACGTTTTAGGAATTTCTCGTCCACCTCGTCCTCTTGTGCCTCTCTCTCTCTCTCTCTCTCTCTCTCTCTCTCTCTCTCGCTTACTCGCTCGTTCTCTCGCCACGAGGCCGTCCTTTTGGCCTGCTTTCCGCGAGAGGGAAACATAAATTTCGCCAACCGAAGATTTCCTTCCGCCCCGGGGCACCGGCTGACCAAAGCGCAGCTTAACCCCCTAATCCGTATTATTATTCTGGGATTAACGTTTCAAGGCGAGTGAAAATTTTTTGTCCAACTTGGAGCGAGCGCGCGCTATCACATTTTCGGGCGCGAAATGCGCAAGGAGAGGGGGCAAAATTGTTCCAATTTCTGTCTTTAAATTGGTTTTCACGCTTTCATTCAAAAGGAAACCAGAGTAGGCGGAATTTGTTTCGTATGTTACACCACACACGCACACACGCACGCATACGTGGTGTAATTAAAAAATTGCATCGACCGATAGCCCTCAACTTTATTGTTAACAAACATCTCCGCGCGGTCGCTCGATATTTAAAAAATTTTTTTAAATGTTTTTTCTCTTCCCTGCGCGAAAGTGGCCGCTTCCCAACGTTGTAACGTTTCGATGATGAAACTTCAAATGAAAACGCGTGAAAGTTCATTTGAAATTGAATAAAGTATCGCGTGACGTCCCGCTATTTATTTGCATTCTCCCTGAAACGGGAGCGAGCAGCGCTTTTCAACACTCCGAATGCCCCTAATTTAATTAACTGAGAAATGAATTTTTCAATTCTCGCAGCGCGCGATTCAGCGGATTCGCCGGTCCTCCGTTGTCATTACCGTCGCCTGTCGCGAACGAGCGCGAGACGCGCGGAATCCGCGCGCATTATTTAAATTACCGTCTTCGACAATATATCACCGGCGGCGCGTCCCTCCCTCCTTTGCGCGGCGCTTCCGCGCAAACCACACTGAGCGCACGAGATTCCCTTTTAACACGATGGAAACGCCGGAATTCCCGTAAACGGAATCCACGAAGTAGGAAGTCGTGTAAAATTTCCAGCGGAAACATTTACTCTCGCCCGTTTCTCGGGCGCGACTTCCCGCGGATCAGCCGTGGAAGAACGATTGTTTTTATCTCGGATTACCCGCCCGATTGTTTCTCCATCGAATTAGCCGAGTGTATCGGCCGAGGGAGACAGAGAAAGAGAGAGAGAGAGAGAGAGAGAGAGAAAGAGAGAGAAAAAGAAAGCGTATGTTCGCGCATGAGCGCATCACAGTCGTTTACGAGCGCGTCCGCCGGCGCGGACTGCGTTAACTCGTTTACTTTTAAAACGCAGCACGTCCATCTTAACAGCTACTGAAGGACCGGCCGAGGCAGCGAGGAAAAATCACGGGACTTCATTTCCCGATCGATACGACCGGGATACTCGCGGAGTGCCGTAGTCGTAGTCGTCGTCATCGTCGTCGCACTTGACCCACCGTCGCAAAAAATTAAGTCCGGAAGCCGCTCGATGTAGCTGCTCTTCATAGCAGTCATGGCGGTTAACGAGGCGACCAACTTGTTTAAGCCTTAAATACGTAAACTCGTTTATCTTTCCCAGCTGCTTAAACTGGCGCCGCGAGATCCTCTCTTTACGCACGGGGCCGGAGAGAGCGAGAGACGGGGGAAATTAATTTCACCCGCGGCTCTTGACCGTTTTCCTCGCGTTAACCCTCCCTCCCCGTCCCTACCATCCCTTACGTTTTATTTCGTTTCGCCGCGCATTGTAGCGGGATATTCCGAGCGTTCATTCATCGCGATAAGACCTTACTTTACCTTTAATATTTTTATGGGTAGAATAACGAGAAGGGAGCCGATCGATGACCTTATTCTTCGCGCGTAAGCGCTCCGATACATCCACGAGGCACAGTTTCCCCCTTTCTTTTTTGTTTCTTTTTTCTTAGTACTAGACACTACAAGAGCGCGCTGTCGCGCACTATTAATTCAATTCTTCAGTCTTATTCAAGTAAGCTCGCACTGAAAAAAAGGTATCTCGTCGTCAAAACGAAAATTCCGCGCACCGAACCATGGTTTGGTTAAAACGGGATCAATCAAGTGTTTCATAGCTGCTATCAAAAAAGTTTAGTTTACCGTTATGTGTGTTTTGCTTTCTCAACAACAAGTGAGAACATGGCAATGTCAACCAAATAATATGTACGAAATATTTCAGTTTCAAATACAAAAATGAACTTTTCAGAGAAAAATATATGCAATCGTGTAAAAAGAGAGAAATATTAAAGAATAATATAAAAACATGTGTTTTGCTTTCTCAATAACACAAGTGAGAACATGGCAATGTCAACCAAATGATATGTACGAAATATTTCAGTCCCAAATACAAAAATGAACTTTTCAGAGAAAAATATTTGCAATCATATAAAAAGAATAATATAAAAATACGCAATAGCCCCAGCGACTCACTCGTGTGAGGAATCAATGCGATTTACTTCTACATTCCATGCACTACGTGATACGAACGTCCTGCGAGCGTTCAAATTGCACGCTCACCATTTCACCATTTCATTGATATCCAGCGACGTCCAGGTCGACGAGGCCCACCGCATCCGTCCAATGTCCAGCCTCCTCAGCATCCAGCCCTCGTCCCATGTCGATCACTTCTCATCCACCACTGCTCTACATTAAGCTGCATTCGCGACCGCGATTATTTTAACGACGTTCAACGAAACAGGATTTAAAATACGTACGAAAAATACGAGACATAAAATATGCGATAAATAGCACGGCGCTTTGAAAATATACTTGGAATTCGCGAATTGCGTGCGAGGAATCGCGAACTGAAGATCGTGGCATTGTCGACAGAGTCACGAGAGAAAAACGGAAGATACCTGCAGACGATTCTACTCTGTCGAGAATGGCATCTCGTCGTTGAGCATTTCGTTCCGCGAGAATTCGCATTTTTAAAAGACATAATAAATATACGTATTGAGAATTGAGAGATAATTGCGATCGAAATGTTGCATCATTCTCGTGAGAAAAATTGAGAAAATTGCCCCAATCAATATTTTATTCCTACACTTATGGCCAGCCTTGCTACGTGAAATAATTTATACATAAATTAACGAATTTTCTTTTCTTATAACCTGTTTATCTTTTCACTTTTTTTTTGGCACTAGAAATATCGGGTTTTCAAGGATTGGAATCTTTCAGTTAAAGAAATTTAGAATGGTTCGTATCTCAATTATGCCAATTTTGTTACAATTTTAATTAAAATTGCTGGGTTTCTCTCTTGGTTTGGCTGAAATTCGAACCATTTTTGACTAATTTAGCACAGGTTTGAAATATTTCGGTTAGAATGTCAGCTAAAGAAATTTAGAATGGTTCGTATCTTAGATTTGGCGATTTTGTTAAAAGTTCAACTAAAATTGCCGAATTTCGGTTTGGCCGAGATTCGAACCATTTTTGACTAATTTAGCACAGGTTTGAAATATTTCGGTTGGAATCTCGGCTAAAGAAATTTAGAAATTTCTTCAGAAGGTGTGAAAGTGAAAGGCTTGTGAAAGGAGATCTTGAATAACAAGACTAAATAGAAGAGAAGACGTTGATAAGAGGCTTGTGGCCCGAGGAGCATTATTAGAGGAACAAATTTACGTTTACAGGACTTACAGCAAATTGTAAATCTCGACTCGCGACAGTCGTAAAATTTATCGCATGAAGTAATCGCGAATTCCGTGTGTGCTGGTGCAATTTTGATGCACACTTGATACCGCTCAAAACAAGTAGAGGATCACATTGAATAAATGATAGCTTTATCGAATTGTTCAATAGCTCAGTTAATTCACGGCTTAATTGTAAACTACGCGGCTTGACGATGAAAATCATATATAGAGATTCATAAATTCATCAAAATCAAAAATATTATACGGCCCGTGTCGTATACACACTCACACGTGTCAAGTATTATTGACTTTCCGTTAGATTTAAAATTTCCACGCTTTGCTACCGGAAACTTGATAGGCTATTTACCTATTTTCGATTGATAATATATTTGGCTGTATTTACCAGCACGCATCCGGTTGTCTTCATACACTAAACGGACGTGAATTCGCTAGTTCAATAGCTCAACTATCCCTCGGACAGTACAAACATTTAGAGAAGCAATCCTCTGCTTGTTTCGGATAATACATCTCAATGGACGATACAAATGCATACATGCAAATCTACGATCTATGTAAATCGCATTGTTAAAGTTTCTATAAGCGCCCGCCACCCTTAAATTTTTATATTTTTATTTCTCTGACTCACCAAATTATGAACTCAAGGCCGGCCGTATTCTGCTACAAATCTGGAACAAGGAAATAAATCAGTATTTGGTAAAAAAATATATATGTGTATTTATATAATTTGAAATCTATCTATTAAACAATAGAATGGAATAAAAACGGAATTATTCTGATTAGCTGACCCCCACTATATCAATTTATATAATTTTATATAATTTGACCGATTAAATAAGAGAATCGATGACTTGGCAAGAAAAATGCTCCCGTAAACACGAGTGTCTTGAACTCCTGCGATTCTAGTCACTCGACCATTTTTCGATTTTTATTCCAACAATCGTGTCCCGATTTCCGATCGCAAATAGATAAACGCAACGAGCACAGGAAGGTAAACGTTTCAACCCAACGTAACCCAACCTAACATAACCTAACCTAGGCTAACCTACCTTCAAGTCGACGTTGCTCGGCCCGAACCGGATCCTCCGGTGCGGCATCCGCATCCACCGAGACGACATCCTCCAGAACTGCATTCAACCGTATCAAACCTGCTCGCCAAGCTCTGTATCAGATCTCTGAAACAACAAATATATTTGCCGATTAATCATACAGCGCTGAGAAATCGAAGAGACTCGATCGTCTGTTGCTCTCGTAAATCTATCAACGAAACTCGCCAGTCACCTTTCGCGTATCTCAAGAGGTTCTTAATCGCTCAGGATGATTCCATTCGCTCGCACGAGTGAGCAGCACGCGATTATATTTCACGCGGGATCCGACAGATTCGAAAAAATACTGGGACAAACGCGCGATACGTTCACCTGCGCGTCGAGAACTGTAATGGCGCCGCGACACGCACGCCATGCCGCGGCGGAGTGAGAACGAGTATCGATTATCGAATGGCCAGATGGATCGACCAGTCGATAGATCGGTCGAGTTGAACTCGCTAACAGAGCGCGCATGTGGCATTGTTATTTGCGGTATTCTTTTACGTTTTTCTAGACACGAATATACATTCTCACGGAAAGTAATAGCGCATCTGCATGTCAAGTTCCTAAGGGTTTAGATGCGTTCAGATGGAGAAAGAAATAGCGTAACGGAACAGTTACGAAAAAGAGATATAGTGGGGGTCAGCTAATCAGAGTAATTCCGTTTTTATTCCGTTCTGTTGTTTGATACATCGAAAATTGTAAAATTTTGATGATAGGTTAGAATGTTTTCCGTTTTTGTTCCGTTCCGTAACTGTTCTGTGCCATGTGAAATCTACCTATCAAACAACAGAACAGAATAAAAACGGAATTATTCTGATTAGCTGATCCCCACTATATCTCTTTTTCGTAACTGTTTCGTTACGCTATGTCTTTCTCCATCTGAACGCACCCTGGTCTACCTCCGACGAGAACGTAATAAACTGTTATGATCGCGTCGTACGTCGCGTATCTATATTGTGTGAGCGGAAAAATATCTAAAGAATAGAAGATACTTATTCGGTAAGTGCTGATAATATATATTTATGTATACTAATATGAAATATTTTCCAAAGTTGTATTCCAAAATGTCTTTTCTGAGAAAAATATTACTGAAAATTCGTAATACATAACGTGAACTACAGATTTTCAGTGACATTTTTTTCAAAATAGACGTTTTGGTATGCAAGCATGTAAATAAAAAGTATAATAATGAGGACGAAAAAAAGATAAGAATATATGTTTTTAAAACTTTGATGAAAGCATTTTTATTCTATTTAAATGAAATTTTAATAAAATTGAGATTTAAGTAAGTATGCCATTAGTACCCACCGAATAAATACTTTTATCCTTTAGATATTTTTCTCTCAGAGTGTATGCATTTCCATGTAAATTTTATCCAGCGAAAAGCGCCTGAGAGCCCAACGTCACGGAATATGTCGTTATCACACGCGAGCTTGACGCCATACGCGGAACTCACTCTATCGATATTGCGAAAGTCTTTAATTACAGCTCGAATTCAATTTAACGGCGGAATATGAAAGTGAAAAACCGATGCGTATCGATGTCACTCTCGGTTTCATATCGACGAGCGTATTCTGAGCATGCGGAGAATCTAAAGCGAATCGGACTGAAGCTCTGTCCAGGATTCATAGATGTATTTATGATGACACTTTTAAGGAAAATCTTCGTTCGTCGATTGCGAAGAAATTCGGGATCCTCCTCGATATGCGGAATGCCGCAGCTTGCCCGATATAAGAATTAAGTTTGCTACCGCGACTCGATGCCGCGAAAGCGGAAGCCACGGGATTTCCGACAAAAAGTGCAGAGAGAAAAAACAAGGGGAGGATAAATGGGTTGAGACGAACGCAGGGTTCAGGAGAGAGGAAGAAAGAGAAAGAGAGAAAGGGCAGACAAGTTTGCGTATCTTATTTTTCAGCAGTTCGCCGAAGAGCGCGGAAAAGGAAGATGGAAAGGATAAAGCGAACAGCCGAGAAACGCCGGCTTGACTTCAAGTTTCCACGCGAACAACGTTTACTTTATCCTCTCTAACCTTCTAACCTCTCCTCCGCTCCTTCCACTCTCCGCCTGCCAACCCCTCCTCGCTTACTACTACCCCCTTTACTCTCACCCGCAATACCCGATCTCAAAGGTCGATCGTAAAGGAGGTAGCGTAGTTTTTTTATTCTTCTGCTTCTTCTTCTTCTTCTTTTTTTTGCGCGGTAACTCAGCACTCGTGTATCTGTTCATCGACCAAGTGCGCGACGCGCGTACTCGAACGAACGAATGAAAGTAAGAGGGACGGCGTGAGCGCAGCGTGCATTGAAACTGCAGTTCCACTATTCGCCCCCCCGTCGAGGAATCGATGACCAGCGACGTTGTACCGTTTCTACAATAAGACGTATGTATAGCCGGTTACAAATCGGCTTGCATGCTTCCTGTCGAATGAAGCTGCAACACCTTAGGTGGTCACGATGGAAAGCCACTGTTCCATGTATGTATGCGCAGTAATCGGATGTGAATATGTAAAAATTACTTCTTTGACAAGTAATGTTCTCTTAATTTAAAATAAATTCTTTCTACCAAATTTCACAAATGTGTCACACTCTCTACTGTCACTTCAGCTCCTGTCACAACCGATTGCCACGCATACACGTCAACAATGACTTTCAACTCTGACAACTTGGAGCGTCGCAACATTATTTGATGAAAAGTGTGCAAACCGATTTGCAACTAACTATACCGTATGTGCGCACATGTGCAATGAAAAAATATCTAAAAACAAAAAACATTTATTTGATGGGTGTACAAATAACATTTTATTTGGAATGAATGAATACAGATTCCTTTCATTTAAAAAACAGAATAAACAATTACTTTCGTGAAAAAAACTAAACTAATATTTCGTATTGACACAAGTAAACATGTTATTAGTACCTATCAGATAGGTATTTTATTTCTTAGATATTTCTTTTGTTATTGTATGTATCGTCGTCTCGTAAACGATCGATCAACTCGTGGACTCGTACGGGAAACGGATAACAATAACAGCTAATTATTCGTGTTTTCAATTATCATTAATTACACAATAATACATCGACACAATAGAAAGACGACTAACAATTAATAAATAATAATTAATATTAATAGTCGATAAATATGAGGATTAACAATTACATTAAAACATTTCGCGCGCATATTGATAATTAATAAATATGGGAGATTAATAATAGCATCGCAAGCGTTTCTCGCGACGGAACGGCGGAATCGTCGAGTACACGGAACGGAGCTTCTCCCGAAGGGATGATATCCGCGACCTGGTTTCTTCCGCCGAGCGACGTTCGCGGGAGAGACTTCTCTCCTTTGTAATTCCCACAATCTGAACTCTAGCGGGTATCGATATAAATACAGGGTGACAGCGGGGTAACGTATTAGCGCGTGTATCGCCCACTCGGCGATTAACTTCCGCACGGCCATCGCGATAGAGCGCGAGAGCGCGCGCACTCGCGGAAGAAATCGGCAATTTATGTTCCCGCCACGATAGCGGGACGGACGATGTGGCCACAGAGATCGGCCAAGGAAGGCCAGAAAGAAGCCCTGGGAGATATCCAAGAAGAATTTCCAGCTCTCTTTCTCTCTTCGCCCGCGCTCCGCTACACTTCGACACGCGGCGTGTCTCCTCCACGAGGCGATGTCGCAATCTGCCTAACGATATGCCTTGCCAAGCGTTTTTTCACTCACGCACCGATGCTTCTCAAACGCGAGATTGTGGATAAAAAGGGAAGGAAAAGACATTCGCGCGGGCTTACAGTGGTAATTCGTTCGTAACGGGACGATAACTGAAATTCAATCCGAATCCGCGGGAAGAATCGGAAGAATCGGAGATGCAAGTGCGCGCGAGGAGGAGGTCTCTGAGAAGTTCGGAAAATTTCCAGATTTACGAGTACCACGACTCGACGATCAGAGGCGCTCAAATTGTCTCAAAGTCTTGCAAACAGAGAGAGAGAGAGAGAGAGAGAGAGAGAGAAGGAGAGGGAGTAATTCAATAATCTCAGATCCAATAATTTCTGGAGAAGGCTCGACTTGTAAATTCGATAATACACGGTAAATTGCCAATATCTTAGAAGACGACTCATTTCGCAAGCGTGACACGCGATATATATATATATATATATATCCCCATATATATATATATATATATATATAGCTTCTTGTAGATAATATCTCTCCCGTATCTGTCATTGCGGTTGTTAAAATATCCCGCGGCCAAGATAAATATCTCTTTTGTCATAATAGTTCCCCGGACCTGGAAAATAATTGCCCGGTTCAGCGGTTCTCAAGCTTCGGGAACGACTATGGTTCTCCAGAGTCTACGACGTAGAGTCTTCGACTACGACGACGATGACGACGACTACGACTACGTCTACGACGTGTCCCATGGGCGCCGCGCAAATTTTCTTACTTAGTTTCTCGCGATTCTGAATTTAAACGCATTATTACCAACGCGACGGCCGTTCGCAGCGCTCCAACTTCCCCTCTTGCGAGCGGTTTAATTTTTATTACGCAGTGGATGTGTAACGAACTGCATGTAACATCGGCAAATTTATATTATATCTCTCCCTAAGCGAGCTATTAATTTTCGCGCTCGACTCTGTCCCCTTCGTTACCGAGTAATGCAACGCGAATTCATCGATAAAATAACGGAAATGTAAAATAATCGCGATCGTTACAACTGATTATGAGATGAAGCAGAAAAGTGAGGCTGTGCAAACCCCAAACCATCTATTAACTTTCACAGGAATATCGAAACAAACTCGACGCGCATCTGCTCGCGGGACATTGTATCGGACGTTTATTCGCAGTCAACGATTAAAGATTAAACGGAATATTTATCAGACGAGAAAGAAGAGACCCGTTAATATACTCACGGCGCGAGCTCTTAACCGGCCGCACAATGTCGATGAAAATCGAAGATTGTCTCGCGAAACTGCGCTCGTAACTTGCCAATAACTTTTCATTCCACAAGATAAAAACCAAGAAGGTCAATGAAATTCAGAATGTATGACGTGGAGAATAAAGAGTAAGAGGGAGAGAGAGAGAGAGAGAGAGAG